GTAACCTCTTGTCACTTCCTTAGTGTCCTTTAAATACGTGGGCCAGTCACCCCAGTGTAACTTAAAACATCCTGAAGTTGCGAGTCTGTCAAAGTTGCTTTTTGTAGCTGTTGTAGTCTCTTTTTTGACACTGGTCTTTTCCACACCTTTACATCATCTTCGAACTCATGGGTAGTTGAATGCAACACTGGGCTCTATGACAGACTGTCTTTTACTAAAAGATTTTTCCCAGGCGCGTATTTAGCAAGTGGATTAAATCACATTAACCTAAGCAATAGATATTGTCCTCTCAGGGGTGCTTGATCCAAGTCTTTTCCACTGATGAGGGTTACATGCAGTTTATGGTCTGTTATCAGTATAAACAAATCCAATCCACAGAGATACCTGTAAAAGTTCTCACATGCCCATATGCTTGCCAGGCACTCCTTTTCAATCTGTGCATATCCTTTTATGCTTCTGTGAGTGAGAGAGAAAAATGCAGCTGGCTTCCACCAAATTCCATGTTGTTGAAACAATGTACTGCCTTGGGCAGCCATAGCTATTTGCATCCTCACTGACCATTGTGGATTTGTGCACATCATAGTACTTAAGAACTGGAGCTGTTGAGATAATTTCTTTCACCTTTTTATAGGCAATTTCTTGATATGGCCCCCATAGCCAAGATATGTTGGACTTCAGTTCATTCAGTGGTTTTGTCACTGTAGAAAGGACTTGTGGAATTCCAGCCAAGGTAATTTACCATCCCTAGTGTATGTCTCAGTTCTGGAACATTAGTTGGTGCATTCAATTAATCGCTTTTACTTTGTCAGGGCTAGCACTGATTCCATCTTTGTTTATTGTCTGCCCCAAGAGCTCGATTTGGGGTAGACAGAAAATGCGTTTTTCCTTGTTTAGCTTCAGTTCAGACTGACTGATCAGGCTTAGGACTTCGTTGAGGGTTTTATTGTATTCTTCCATGGAAGACCCTTATAGCAAAATATCTATCATGCACGAAGACTACAATTCCATTTGTGTTTGCTAACAGTTCTGCCTTCTTTCTTTGGAAAATTGCAGGTGCACTGGTAATCCCCAAAGGTAATCTTTGAAAGCAAAATCTCTCAAAGGGTGTGATAAATGTTAGTTTAGCACTTTCTTTGGCTAAAGGATTTTGTCAGAATCTGCTTGAGGCATCCAACTCAGAGAATACTGTAGCTCTTTTCACTTTGGGGAGGGACATCATCCAGTGTTGAGAGAATATTTTTTTTTATCTTACAACTGCTCCATTAAGTCTTTTAAGATCCACACAGATTGTATTTTTCCATTTTACTTTATAACTAGTACTATTGGGACACACATGCTGTTGGATTAGAGCTTTTCTCGATTATGCCAGTCTGCTCCCTTCTCTATAACTCAGCTTCCACTTTATGAAGTAATGGGTAGGAATCCTGTAAAATATATGTACACTATATGGTTGAGCATTGTCTCAAGGTTTTTTAATACTGCATCTTGTTTCAACAGTCCAATATCACCAAATATTCCATTGAGTTCTTCCACCTCCCTCACCAGGCTCATCATGGCTGTCATGTTGTGGCTGAGAAGGCAGTTGGTCTGTGGTCCTTTGATCAAATACACTCTGAATGCAAAGATTTTGTTTTTGTAAGTTGTTTCTGTGGTGAACTGGCCCATGCAGTACAGAATACCTCTGTGGCTAGTCAGAGCTGTGTCAGGTGACTTCAGCTCTCGGAGGAGTTGAAGGTGATTATAAGTCCCTTCTGAGATGACTGTGAGGTCAGCTCCTGAGTCGCTTTTAAAGTCAATAGTCTTGCTATGAATAATCACGTTCACTCTCCAGACAGGTCTGTTTCATCACAAGTGGTAGATCCCAGAAATGGCTCTTGATTCTTTGTAATATGAGTCAACTCCCTGACTGCTTTGGTGCAGCAAACAGCTGCAAAATGTCCATATTTCATGCATTTATTACACCATGTGCCTCTGGCTGGAGATGCATCATCTCTTGAGACATGACTGTTTCCACACCTTGTGTATGTAGGCTGGAATTTGTCCCTTATAACCTGGGAGTTATCTCTCCTAGCCTTAGTGATCTTATGATAATGACTTTTAGCACTCGTGCTGCCTTTTTAACATCTTCTTCTTTTTCAAATTTGGCAAGTTGCTTTCGATTTTGGTCTCACCAGCTGAGGCTGCTTTGCTTTCTGTATAGCTGTAGCTAGAGTTAAATCTCTTTTCAGTTGTATTTGCTGTGAAAGGTTTTTGTTTGTTAACCCAATAACCAGAGTGTTGCTGATATCTTCGTTTTTCATTCCCCAAATCACAGTTTTCAGCCAATGCATGTAGAGCTCTTAAAAAGCATTTGATATTTTCTTCTGGTTCTTGAATTCTTGAGATGAAAACATGTTCTTTCATAAAACATATTTCTCTGAGACACAAAGAATGCATCAAACATACCCTTTCATAGTCATCTTTGTGACTGTATTCAGTAACTTCAAAGGATGTAAGGATATGCTCTGCTTGCTTCACCATAGCATAAATTAAAGAAGATACCGGTATATCTCCAATTTCTTCTTGGAGTTTGTTTGCAATTTGAAATCTTGCAAAATACTGTTTCCAGTCTGTCCATTGTGAAGATTTATCAAAGCTGAAGTTCTCTGGAGCAGTGAAGAGTGGCATGTTGATGAGATCCTGCAATCTTTGTTGCTGTTCCTTCTGTCTTCAACATTTTGTTACTTTGTTCCTTTGGTATACAACTTTTGTTGCTATTTTCCTTCTCTTTCTGTTCTTAGTTTATTCCTGACCCCATGTCATGTATTTCTGTATCAATAACGGACTGGTTAGAAAGCTTGCTTATACACATCAGATGTGTTCACTATAAGATCATTTAATACTCTGAAAGGTATGTCTGAGATTGGTTTAAATAAGGTATCTTACACACAGTGCCAACTAGTGGCTGTACAGTATCATACAGTTTAGCATCTGTTACCATCTATATTTTTAGCAGCTGCATGTCTCCCCATCCTTACAGTAGGATTTTGTCCTGCCCAGCAGCTACAGAGGCAGTCGTCAAAGCTGTCTCTTTTGGTCAGTGACCTCATAGCCTCTCCCACATCCCTCCTTTCAGAAGGCTGCCTCTACTGGATGGCACATTGCCCTTAGAGTGGGACCCAGTAATTTTAAAACTCTTTCTTCATATTTTCTCCTAGGCTCATCCGGCCCCTCCCCTTTTTTGGCAATTTTGGCCACTGAATCTAAGGGCTAGTCTACAGATGAAAGTTAATGTAGAATAAGTTAGGGTGTGAATTTAAAGTGGACTAACTTTTCCTAACTGACTCTCTGTGTAGGCACTCATATTCTGAAATAAGAGTGCTATATTCCAAATTATCCTATTCCATTTAAACTAATTTGGAATAAGGCACACCCATTCTGAAATAATCTCCATTTTATTCCCACTCTGTTGAAGCACCTCTGCCCCGCTGCAGCTCTCCCATGCTTCAGCAAAAAAGTTTTTTTTTAAATCTCCCCACAGTTCAGTGTTCCCCATTGAGTAGCCTGACCTTTTATCTGCTCTTGCCATCTAGTTTAATTTCTTTGTGACTCTCCTATGAGCAGATCCCTCACAGCCACACATTTGCTCCTACAAGACCAGTCCTCCTGTCTCGGTTTTCCCAATCTGCTCCATGCTGCAGTTTGGCTTTTATGCACTTGGCCATATCAAGTTCCTGCTTCTTCCAGCATGTTCCTGTGTCATGGAGGTGTGCAATATCAGGACTGCAGACAAGCAACATAAAAAGATACTCCAGTCTATAAGTGCTACCTTGTGTATAGAGTCCCACTGAGTCCTTGAAACATGGGGACCGGTCAGCACATTCCCTTTATCCTTGCCTGGATGCTACTGTAAACTACTCTGCTGTCTGAGATGGCATAGAACTGGTCCCAGAATTGAGGAGCCACAAACAGCTCTTTTGCTTTTCCCTCACCCAAATGCACTCGGCACTAACTTGGTAAAGGATTCAGCCCTATGCCTTTACTAAAAATACAAAGTGATCTCCTTTCTTCTGCAGCTGCTACTTTTGAAAGGAGTACTCTTCAAACTCTGGAGAGAAATGTATGTATTTTTAAAGAGATCCATTTTCCTCTGTACCTGTAGTAATTAGTATGTTTCCTTCTATTTCTGGGACATTGATGCTAGTCAGTTCCCCACTGTATGGATAACTGGACATGGCTTCACTAAAGAGAGAGAAAAAACCCCCACCTTTTCCTGTTGATTCTTTTCTCTTAGTTAATACATCCCACAATCTGACTTTCCCTGGGAAAATTTAATCAGTTGTTCCATAAGTTGGAGCCAGTTGTTTGTTTTCATGTTAAATATAATACTGTTTTTACCTATGAAATTTGATGAGCTGCCCAGGAAGCTTTACAAGAATTCATCTTGTGGGGAAAGCAAAAGGGTGGGACCAATAAGGTAACTGCTGCCTATGAGTGACATCTTTGAAGACTCCCCCAAAACTCCTGGGCAGGACGCAACACTACTGTAAGGATTACCAGCCATAGGGTACACTAAATGAGAGAAGGAAAGCTAAAGGATAAGTAAAATTTTCTTTTGGAGTGTATCAGTTTCACATTACTGCATACGTTCTTCTGTGCTGCTGATTAGAAAAAATGGGAGGAAATGTGGGTGTAAATGGGAGAGAGAAGGGAAAAGGGAAGTTGGAGCATATCATTAGTTTTAGGAAATATAATGTACTATCACTCTTTTTTTCATTTCAAGCACTGCTTCAGTAAAGTTCATAATTACTGGAAATAAAGCTTCTATAAAATATAATCAAGGACATCTCTTCATTTAAAACACTTCTACCCCAGTGTTCTTATTACAATATTAATTTATCTGACATTGGAATGCCTGACCCTTATTATAAACGTTATGCCTACATCTCTGAGTATACTACGTGATCACCCTTTTTGATTGTTTGGAAATGTTAACCTTTGGTGCATGGGTATCTTTTAAGCTCCAGATGTTGTCCAGAATGTTCAGTGTACTGCAACAAGTTGGCAGTCAATTCTAGTGCACTGGGACCCACCTTCTAGGTCAAATGGAGTGATTACACATTACATCATAATATTTGAAAGGAATTCTACAAGCATTTCTGATTATGATAAGGTGCATACTTTCAGAGATCTGCTATCAAATATTTCTTACCAATTTAAAATAAAAGCTGCAACATCTGCTGGTGAAGGAAAAGAACAGATATGCAATGCCAGCACATTTCCAGAAAAAGGTAACAATTTTTGGATTTAAAATTTTACTTTAATTTAAATGACAATTGAATATTTAGATCAGTGATGCTGTTCTTACATTTACTACAGCATCCCAATCCTTTCCCTAGTCAAGTATAATCACAGTTTAAATCTACTATCAGATGGTGAGAAATGGGGCCTGCTTTCCAACCCCTCTCTTAAAATGTCCTTGATTGTGTTCCCAAGGGACAGAGTTTATCATGGAATAGCCAGTGGAGAAAGTCAGTGGGACTTGGAAGTACAAATTAAAAGTTACGTTCTTGCCATGTTAAGTTTGAGTTCTTATTTATTCATACTTTATCACCCAGTCCTAGTATGCATTGGCTTATAGCTAGATTGGGTATGTTTTCACCCTTTTGCTAGTGACCTCACCTATTGAATATTATTACTGGGAAGGTTTTGTATGAGATAGTGGTATTTCTGCCAGAGACATCCTTTGTTTTAATGTTAAGTAGCCAATACTGCTAATTCACTCATTAGAAGTGCTATCATTCAGAGGTTGTTAATCAATAAAATCATTTAACTTCCTCCAATGTTTGTCATCTTAATCTACCATTGAAATGAACTTTTTAACAGGGGAAAAGATGGCAACCATATAGACAGTTTAGGGGAATTAATCCCTGTGCCTTTTTAATAAAGAGGTTATCTTCACACTTCCTTTTACTATTACATATTTAATAATGGGGCTACTTTTTCAGTGGCACTACTTGCATGAACGGGAGCTTTAATTTTGCCTCTCCAGCCTTGAAAGGCCTGGATACATCCAGAAACATATAAACTCATTCCCAGTTGGAATACGTTTTTCTCTCTCATCTCTGAAATAAGTAATATGTGTTTTAATGAGTTCTTATTATTAGTTTCTCTCTGTTAATAAGAACTATCTATCTAATTGTCTTTCATAAATAATAAGTCAGGTAAGTATGGTGTTAATGTCATATCAGAAATTCTTGCTTACATTACTAGTGGGGGTATATTTGAAAGTATATTGTAGTGTAACATTTTTCTTCAAGTTGAGGTAAATGGGGCTATTTTATGCATGTGAGGGATGCAGGGTTGGTACCCAGCTTGGATCTTCATAAATTCTGCCTGAATATTAAAGACGTGAAATGTAGTTTGTCCAGCTCTGATAGTTCAAGAAAAGCTTCTAGTAAGGGACTTTCTAATTCTTAGGCAGACATAAAGGAAATACAAAAATCGGTGGAGAGATCTATTAAAGTCTGATTTGCCAGAAGTTTAACAAATTCCTCTTTATTTTGTCATCTCTTGTTGTATGGACCTGGGAGCTCTACCTATTTTTACTTAATGTTCCATCTAAGAAATATAAAATGTTGGGTTGATTTTATCGCAAAGAAACAAAAAGTATCTAGGGAGAATTTGTAAAATGGGATGCCTTTAATGACACTTGAATGTTGAAAGGGCCGATAATTGGAGTTATAGCTGGAAGAATACTGACTAAACAGCATTAATGAAGATTCGTTCAGATTCTGATTTGGCTGTTCAGTTCAACCATACTTGTGTACGTTTTCGTCTGTTATTTGTGAACATACTCATGCCTTTTATTTTGTTCTGTATGGGGACATCTCTGTACTGCGTAGGACTACTGTATTCACATGAAAACAAGCATATTTGTATCTGAGGAAGAATATCTGCTACTTGTTATTTATTTCTCAGTAATTGTTACTAGTTTGCATGTAAATATTTCAGTTATCCAATCAAAAATGAGGCAACACTTCCACATAACTTAGTTGTGAATGATGAATAGTGAATATTTGAAGTGAACAGTCCATAAACCACCAAAAAACTGAAAATTGTATTCAAACTATTTAACAGATCTTTATGAACAGTTAAAATATTGGATACATTGGGATTGCGATAGAAATTATTCCCAGAGTAAAGAGCTGTTACGTAACTGATCTACAGTGAATAAGGTTACCTAATTTACTTGGAAAATACAGATTTAGAGAATTTACAGTTTCAATCCAACTCCCGCTGAAGTCAATAGAAATATTCCCATTGACTTCAATTGAATGATGACCTTTAAGAGGTGCTCCCCCATCATACCAGTGTGAATTTATTTTAAAAGGGTATATGATTCGGGTGACCAGATGCCCCGTTTTTAAAGGGACAGTCCCTTTTTTGGGGACTTTTTCTTATATAAGCGCCTATTACCCTCCACCCCCTGTCCCGTTGTTTCTGTTTCTATCTGGTAACCCTATGTATGATAGGATATTGGAATGTAGTCCATTATTTTATTCTTTGACTGATATAATTTGAGATATTTTCCTCATTTATTTGGGCATAATGTTTTCTCTGCATCTTTTGTATTATTGGAAAAAATCAATTAATTTATAGATTTCAATGTAGCACCATGTAATGTTACATGTTGGTTAGGTATTTATTTCATTGGAATGACAGAGCATGCCTGAAAACTCATTTAGCTTTGCAACCCCCATTTTAGTATATTTTTCAAATTTTTATTCTTGGAAAAAATGTTTATTTTATTAGTTATGTTTACAAAAGTGCCTGTCCAACATTTGAGGTGCAGAATATTAATTATGCATGCATTCAAAAACTCCATAGATCAAATTGAAAATAAAAGGAACTTCCAGTCCATCACAGTAAACTTAAACTTCTCTCCCTCCATCCTTTGCCATTCAGCCCTACTCAGCCCCTCAAAAATCTTCCACCTGGAAAAACCTCGGGAAATAGCATCTTGCATTATTTTATTGAAAGTTTTCTAATCTGGAGTCTGATGGACCAAGGGTGAAGTGATCACCAACCCCTTCATGCCCTGATTCAGCAAAGCACTTAAGCACATTCTTAATTTTATGCATGTGCTCAAGTCCTCAAGCAGTCAATAAGATTTAAACACATGCTTAAAGTGAGGCATGATCTTAAATGTCGTGTTGAATTCTGATAGATATAAGCCAGTGCTTATCTGCTTTACTCTATCAGGGCCTACACTAGCTATAATTTTACCTGAAGACATTGCTTTTTTAAACCCAAATTTGATTTATTTTGGAATACCATGTGCATTATTAATGGGATATTTGCCCAAGTAAGGGCTGCAGGACTAGGCCCTAAAACTACAAAATATGGATTATTGCTCTAAAAGAACTGTAGCTCAGACTCGTGTTGTTTAACATTTGGTTTAAATTTTAGCATTTAGTCATATTTACAACAAACTGGTTATTAGGACAATATCTTCTTAACTGTGTGTTCACAGGAATTGTTTTCTGATGAGTGGCTACTAGGAATCGAAGATTCATGGTAGGGAATGGAAACAGTTTTATAGCTGTTGTCAGCTTCTTATTTATGGTGGTCTAAGATTAGTTACAGAATACATAGCCAGCACTGAGTCACTGACAATGCATTTATTTTTGACATAAAGTGAAATCAAATTTGGTTCAGTGTCTCATTGCATAGTGTCTGACCTTTACATTCCTTGCAAAGACTATTTTATTTTATTTTACGTAAACTTGTTCATATCTGGGTATTACTAAACATGGATCATGAAGATTAAATTTATGGGGAGATTAATGTTTGGTGTCTAATCTAGCTCTGCTGTCATGGTAAACCACTTGTACCAGGGTAGAGTATGTTATGACCCACAAAAAATGATGAACTCTGTGGTAGTTACATTACTTTGTGTTTAAATATTTTATATAGGATATGAAAGATAATATAGCAAGATTTTAGGACTGAATAACTATCCTTAGATTATATCCAAGGAAAGATACATATTATAATGGGATTTCATTAGGGTTGGGTGAATTTTCAGAGGACAAAAACTGCCTTAAACTGGTAAGAAAATGTTCTCTAAAAGACTCTCTATTTTAAACCTGTCCAAGTTTACCAAACTCTAGCGTCTAGGATAAATTTAATAGTCATTTGCAAATAAAAATTAAGTATATTAAAGTACCATTTTTAATTCCAAAATGTTGAACAATTAAAAATAGAAACTGCTATTATGTTTCATTTGTAAATTTTATATTTTACTCAGTCCATGCTCACTGTTTCTTAGACACACACACACACACACTAAATTAAACATACTATTTTCAGCATGAAGAAAAAATATCAAGTTAGTTTGCCAGGCTCTATTTTCAGTGTTGTGGTGCACGGTGTAATTTTCCTTACTGTCTCCTAGTATTATTTAATATTTATATTGCGTTAGCATGTAGGGTCATCAACCAGGTCAGGATCCTATTATGCTAGGTGCTGTTCATACATATATAGTAAATGACAGCCCCTGCCCCCAAGAGATCCTATTCTTTCTTCTTCATAGATTCATAGTTTCAAAGGCCAAAAGGGACCATTGTGATCATTTAATCTGATGTCCTGTATAACACAGACAATAGAACTTCCCCAAAATAGTTCCTACAGAATATTTTAAGAAAAGCATCCACTCTTTATTTCAAAATTCAGTGTTGGAGAATCCACCATGGACCCTGGGTAAGTTAATTATTGCCACCATTAAAAATTTATGCCTTATTTCCATTCTGAATATATCTAACTTCAACTTTCAGCAATTGGATCATGTTAAATCTTTATCTGCTAGATTGAAGAGCCCATTATTAAATATTTGTTTTCCCCTGTAGGTACTTACAGACTTAACCTTAACCACCCCTTAACCTTCTTTTTGTTAAGCTAAATAGATTGAAATCCTTGAGTCTATCTCTATAAGGCATGTTTTCTAACCCTTTAATCATTCTCTTGGCTCTTCTCTCAACCCTCTCCAAATTATAAACATCGTTCTTGAAGTGTGGATACCAGAACTGGACACAGTATTCTAGCAGTGGTCATACCAGTGCCAAATGCAGAGGTAAAATAGCCTCTCTGCTCCTACCTGTGATTCCCATTTGTGTGCATCCCAGGTTTACATTAGCCCTTTTCTCCACATTGTTGCACTGGGAGGTCATATTCAGCTGATTATCCATCACAACCCTTAAGTCTTTTTCAGAGTCACTGCTTCCCAGGA